CTCCATGTCATTTGGTCAGGAAAGGAAGTTAAATGTTTTTTGAAACAAGCACATTTTAATGACATGACACTTTGTTTGATGTAGAAAAATGGAAGCAACGATGGGGAATTTATCTACCACACCGGGCAGCAGAACTACATGGATTATGGCCAGGTCAAAACGTGGAAAGGTCAAAGGTAGCACTCCCTCTCTGTCTTCATTCACAGTGATGAAACTGTGGATTAAAACATTTCTCATATTTACTTCTTTTTGCCAGTAATGGGGGGTACAGGCAGGCTCTTTGTTTGCTTGTTAGTCTGGACTTTTGTCCTTAGAATAGAGTACAGGTCAGGATATCTTGATATTCCCCTTAGTAACAGCATTTAATGTCATTAAGATGGAGATAATAATGTGTTGTTATTTAAAGTATACAGTAGTTTCTAAGAACTGTGTATCTTTGGCATCTTTGCATGCAGCATCTAATCAGTTTACCCTGTGTATAAATATTATGTTTTTTTAATTTCATAAACATAACCTATAATCTCTTAATTTTAAAAAGACAGTTAATGCTCGTGTTTGTGACAACGTGTTGTTTTGCAGCGAGCTGACCTTCTAACCAAAGCAACAGCAGCAATGGAAGTGCTTTCCATCCCTTGCTGAACAAGAATGAACACATCTACGTCTTCACCTCAGACCTCTGCAGGTACAGTGCAGCCTACGCCTTCCTGCAGCCTCGTGCTCCCATGTGGCATCCCTGTAAGAAATGTAAAACCACCACGCTTATTTGTCGCTGTTGCTATCTATATTCTTCTTATGAGTGAGTGAAGACATTTTAATTAGTGTTTCTTACATATCTTTGTAGTAATATTTGTTTGTTTTTAGTCGTGCTAGCTGCATGGCGTTATGGACCAAAGTGTTAGTCAGCAAGCTCTCAATTCAATTCCATTCAATTTAATTCAATTGTATTTGTGCAGCACTGAGTCACAGCGCAGGTAGGTGACCATATATGAAGACACAATACCAGCTTGACAATGTAATGTTGAAATATTTTAGATACACAGGGTTTTTCATTTCCTGAAAAGTAGTGGTTTTGGAGATACAAGGTTTCTGCCCAACACTGAAGATATGAGGGGACTATTTGTCTGACTCAAAGAGTAACCTGACTGCCGCAGGGATTTGGATCCCCTCATTTGTTTTACTGTTATTTATATGTTATCTATATATGATATTATACCTAAGGATGCTGTGGTTATGATCATTAAGTTAGGGTTTATCACCAGTTATGACGTCATGTCTATTTGTGGTACATGAGCTGAACTGAAAATGTCCTCAACTCAACTCGATGCTGTTTGCCACAGAGTCGGGTGGAGGGTTTTCATATCTGGTATGGTTTGTTCATAGGCCTTGTATCCCACTGATTGTTGTTATAACTTCCTGATCAGGTACAAAGAGCACTGCAGGTGACTTCTGTGTTCTCACCAAGGCTTTACTGCCTTCATGATGAGGGGTTTTTGAAAAACTAACATGCCAATCTCCAGGAAGCACTTTCTGGAGGCTTAGTTGCAGAAGAATGTTGGAGTCTAATGGAAATGGAGGGCAGGTGAATGAGACAGGAAAATTGAGGGAGAATGAAAAATGTGTATTTTGGTTATTGGCATATCCTGATTTGAGCTAAAGCGCATTTTCACAGCAGTGGAAAATAAAAGTTGCAGAGGTTTTTGTTCTTGACCAGCGGGAACAAACAAGTTTAGTAATGTTTTCTATGTAATTCCACTATAGGTGTCCTGCCAGTTTTTATAATAACTTCTGCCAGGCATTTGCATTACCAATGCTTGTGAAAACATTCAGATGTACCAGGGGTCACCAACGCAGTGCCCGCGGGCACACGGTCACCCGCAAGGACCGCTTGAGGCGCCCGCGAGGCATGTTCTAAAAATAGCACTGGTCACAATGAAGCTCCGTCTAAAAAGTTTTTTGTTGCTTTACTTTTTGAATCTAAAACGCTTGAATGAATGTAGATTTTAAAATGACGTTATTTATTACAAACATTTTAAAGCAAAAACGTTTTATGTACATAAAGGTCTTATAATTATGCTGTATTTTTTGTATTAATCTGGTTCTGGAAAGTATATTTGCCTCTAAAATGTAGTGAAGTCAAAGTATGAAGAAACAGAAAATAAAAATACTCAAGTACAGATACCTCAAAATTGTACTTGAGTAAATGTACTTAGTTACTTTCCACCACTGATGCACTGTAGAGGTCATCCTCATTCTGTTTGTCTGTTACAGTATGTGACACATATGCTGACATAAGGATACTCGCTAATTAATGTGTGAATTAGCCAAATGAATGGCCTTGTTATGAAGGAGTGTCCCCTCATAGAAAGTATCACCAGACGTTCCTAGACCTCGATCCGGTAAGTCATAGTTGATCAGCAAGAAATGCACTTTTTGCTCTTCAGTTATGAGTAGTACCATTAATACCTCATTACTTTTTCCGATTTGATTACAAACTTTATTTTGTTTTAATCTGTTTGGGGTTTCAAGAACCTAACTCTGAACTGTAGCCATCTATCCTGTCACGCAAGACTTTTGTTGTGCTCGCAGGGGAGCAACCTCCTGCCTCTATGGCTCCCACTGTGCTGAAGTCTCAGTCAAAGCCACTGGTAATTGGACGGAGTGGTGGCAGTATGATCACGACCAGGATGGCCTTAGTAGGTATCCATGGCAATCACCACAAAGTGCCATTAAGGTAAATTGCCACAGTCTATTGCTTATCACCGTTGTCTTCAACATGCATGTCTGCAATCCTTTAATTATTATATGGCAGTGTGTCGTTCTGCTTCTCTCTTGCAGTTACTCATGAAACTGTGGATTTGGAAAGAGCCTTAAGCCTGTTCTTGTACATGTCATGAGGACATGGTCCATGTCCATGTAATTCATATTATTGTTTGGGTACAAGCAGGCTATTTTGGATTGCATCAAGCTAATAACATCTTCATATCTGTTATTATTTTGTATTTACATTCTCAGTACTGAACTTACTCTTTTACCATGACTATATAAGCTGTTTACGTAATATCCAGTGAATGAAATGGATATTAGATGTTTCCTTTTACACGCCTTGTACTGGACATCATGGTAAAACAACCTAAAACCTGCTTTTCAGGATGCAAGTTTCTCACAAGAATTGTGTTGATTGTTCATACTTTGATGGGCAGTGGCTAAAAATATTTGTTGGTTTTTCAGTTATTACTTGTCATAAATGATGCCATTCCTAAACTGAATTTGCTGTGTTAATCACCGTTAGAAATTCTTGAAATGGACTTCATTTGTTTTTCATAATAAAGATGGTTAGTCAAATTAAATGAGTGCAAAACTAAGAAAACAATAAGTGGCTGAAGAGTTAAATATGTAAATAACATATATAATATAATACGCATATAATTAATCAGACAAAAATAAGCAAGTGCTTTTTTGGGATTCACCAAAGTGGCCCTCAGCAGGCCGGTCATGTCACTGCTGCTGAAGTCTGTTCTGTAAAACCAAGCCTCTGTGCCATAATATATTTTGAACTATCTCTGTGACTTCTTTGTGCTGTTTTTCATAAATTATTATAAATTTTTGTGCTTCAGCATGCATGCTTATTATTAGCTGGAGCAAGATAAGATTAGTGATTCATACAAACAGGAGAGCAGTTTGATGATAGAAAGTTTGTGTTGAAATATGGACTTTCTTTATGTATCTACTCAAAATCCTACATGAAGCATATATTTTCAATTCACACAATACAGTAAATAATAGAAATAGATTTACAGGGGGTTATTTTAATCAAAATCCAGGTAGCTAAATCAATCCTGAAAGGAACAGGTCAGATAATAGGATCCTGTTGGTTTTCAGGGTGGATGCTGTTTCCCTGTCACATGGTATTTGGACCTCAGGGGGTGTGACAGTCCCACTGTGCCCTGACCTTACAGGAGCCACCAGTTGCAAATGCCACATTACCATGTCTGCTAGCAGGAACAAAGTGCTGCCAGGAGAGGATCATGGGTAGGGCCTCATGCAATGATCACCCTGGCTTTTCCTGGCAAATAGTGGCAGTTCAGGCGTTTTCCTGACAGCACACAACGGCACAGATGATCTGCTGGTTCAGAAACAGATACAGCCGTCGGAACAACCAATCCCAACCAGCATGGTCTAAGCTGATGTCTTTTCTTGCCCTATTTACAGACTAATCTGCATAATTAAATCCTCTGTTTGTTTCTGTGAACAGCTGCAGGTTTTGTTTGTGACCCAGATGTTGAAACTGTTCAATTATTCTGGAGATCTTCAAAATAAAAAAAATCCAGACATCACTTCTCGAGATGGATTGGTTCTTTTATTAGCAGTCAGTGTTTGGCATGAGATAAATACACAGTCTACAACCAGAAACATTTTGACATTGACACATGAAACATAAACTAGGTAAACCGTGCTCTCCATATTCGGAATTAAACACTGGACATAAAAGGTGTTGGATCTGATTGTAGATTACATTTACTTTCATTTTACATTTAAAGGATAAGGTCTGTCATTTTCTAGATTCATAGTATTTGTCCACACACAGAATAACACAACAAATTGTCTCCGCTCACAGTTAATGTCTGTCAGCTGTCAGTCCTGGATCAGCTTCTTCGTCTGTGTGATAGATCTCTGTTGTTGTTCAAAAACAATTAAAAACACATTAGTATAACATAACACTGCACTGGGTGCCACATTTTGTCATAAACACCAGACCTGACAATGTTGCGTGAAGGCTCCGAGCAGCCATAATTTAGCACAGATCAGTCATCTGTTCATGTGCGAGATCCTGCTTGAGCTCTCAGCTTTGGTTACATTCTGCTAGCTTCTCATGGTCAGGTCTCGGGTTTGCTAATGAAGAAATGTGTCACCAATGCAGCGGTGTGTTTCACTGATGTGTTTTTAATCATTTTTGAACAACAACAAAGGTCTACAGCACTGATGAATAAGCTGATCCAGGACTGACAGACTAATATGTAGAGGCAATTCACTGTCTCTGTATGGGGAGTGCTGAAAAAACTGTTAATATAAAAAATGGCCAGTCTTATCCTTTATTACCATTAGCCACTCCCCTTTTGTTTACTTCTCAAGCTCACACCGGGAGGTCATTGCACATAGTTTCATAGTCAGTGGAGTTATTATTAGAATTACTGAGTTGGACAAAAGACGACACCAAAACAATAACACTAATAATTACATTAGCAATTATACATTTTACTGTTTCACACACATATAACGCATTTAAACATTGATTATATATGATGTTGTTTTAACAATCCTTCTTGCAATCATTAGCTATTTAGTTACCATTCACCTTAAAGAAGTATGCTTTCAGCTTCCACTTCGTAAATATCTCTAGGAATAAACAATGTACAGAGAGTATATGCTATGGAGAGTTATAAAAAAGTATACTTAAAGTGCATTGCAGTGTTTCGGTCAGTCTAACCTAAACATTATGTGCTACTATAGCCAGACTAGAATCAATACATAACAGTCATAACTGTGTCTCGTAGCAAACATAGGGCCACTGAATTTCAGTAAATGGAAATGGCAACATATCTGTAGAGGCCAACGACAGTAGGATAGGCAGTCTGGCACTGTTCAGACTCTATGGCCCCTGGTAATTGTTAGCTGTAGTGTCATAAATACACTGACACACCGTGGTAGCGATGACTACAACAGCTAGATAATTACAAAGAGGTGAATATCAGCAAGTAGGTTAAGTACAAAATCATTTAGTCACAGCTATACTTTGTTGAGTACTACCTGTTGTCTTCAAAAACAAAAAAATAACATGTTTTGTGTCCTCATTTACATCTACACAAGGGCTGCATGGGTATTCACAAGTAGACATCTGGGGGGGCAAAAAGTCTTGACCTAGCAGTTTTGCCAGAGTCACATGATGGGTTGTCAGCTGTATAGCCTGTTATCATAGCTTTTGTTGAGAGATTAACAGAGAACACACAATGTGGAGCCAGGCCCCGTCTGCCAGACATAGTCTCAGTCCTGGTAGAGAACACAGAGAACACAGAGAACGCAGAGGGATACATTGTTTCCAAACTAACTCAAGTTCCACTTCAGCTGCTGCTCCTCCATCCAGCCAACTGATCAAATTCTCCTTGGGACTGGCTCCTCAGCTGCCACTATCACAGAGATAAAGAGGAAGAAAAGAGGGAGAGAGAGGGAGAGAGCACACGCACTGGTTCATTAACTCTTCGAACCCCCCTCCAATGAAACCGCATCTCGTTTCCAAGAGCGCCCTCCACAAACACAGTAAGTCCACCGTCGTGACTGTCACTTTGCTGCAAATGTCTTGTGTGGGTTAACTCAGAGATAGTTAGGAATAATTTGGTAGCCATGTCAGGACATGAAATTCACTATGTGGGCACTGATCTCCCTCATGCCTCAAAGGGTGACTTAGGTCATGGTGTGAGGGCAAGAGGGCCAAGGAAGTAACGGACTGCTGTGGGACAGCATTTCAGCCACAGTTAAAAGAGTCTCTGAGAGAAAATACCATATCACCTCTCACAGTAGTGAAGGGTCAAGTCTGTGGAGAGCTGCTTCTCCCCTAAACCCCACGGCTCAAGCTTGAATTTGTTCCTCGCATCATCTTCACCATCCTCTGCCTCTTCCTCCTCCTCTTCTTCCTCCTCATAGTGACTGGGCTCCTCAATAGAAGTCTCCAGGTTGTAGCAGTAGGGTTGACCCTCTGTGTACTCGTAGATGGTTGGCAGACTGCTCTTCAGGCTACAGCGCCGACGCAGTGCGACTAGCAGCGGCTGAGGCATAGTGAAAATATCCACATTATTGCCCAGGTCGATCCAGGCCAAGCTGGAGAACTTCTTGGGGTCTTTGAGCATCTCGGTGAGGTCTTTGAGGATCGCCAGGGTGAGGCGGTTACCATTGAGAGCTAGGGTGCTGAGTTTAGGCAGCGATGCGAGAAAAGGCAGGAGGAGTTTCAGGTTCTCATTCTGGAGTTCGGTGAAGCTGATGTCTACAGCCACCACACTGTCTTTGTTGCTTTGGAGGTAGAAGGCGACTTGACGAACATCACGAGGGGACAGAGGGATGCCAGACAAGTCAACAGTGTCACTGGACAGCTTTTTCTGTAGAGTTGTCTTGAGACTGTTGAGGAACATGAAGAGAAAGAGAGTGACTTGATGACTCTTTGACATGACAACACATCTATTCAGAATTTAAATGAGGGGTAATATGAATATAAAGGAGGGGGTGACTGGGCTAGCTTGAAGTTGAAGGGTGACACTGCATGGAGAATTACCAATGTAAACAGAGGAGCTAAAACATCGGAGCAAGCCAGCAGCTTGAGCTTAAAGCTCTGAGGGCCAGGAGCACAGTCCTCCTTATAGCACAGAGCCAGTTTACTTAACAGATAAACAATGTAGTGTTTTAGAAAGAGATACAACTTGAAGAGAAAATGCTTGGCCACTATATTTTTAGGACTAGAAAGAAAAAAGATGAAACTTTGGAAATCCTATAGTACTCAGAAAATACAGCTGAAAATTCTACAATTAAAAGTGATGTGGTTAAATTCCACCAAAGAAGTAATGTCTTCTGTCTCATTAGCAAGATGTCTTTAAAACCTGATAACAGATTGCAAGTAAATTAGGCCCAGGAACAGAGATCCAAGATTCATAACAACATTTTCACAATTTTCTCAGGAGCTACTGCACTTTATTGAAATAATTTCTCACATGCCTGATTATCAGTAACACTTCACATTAAAGGTTCAAAACTTTTGATGAACTTTACGACTGGGCAGGATAGGCAACTGTTCTCTGGCCCTCTACTAAAAGGGGCCCCAGTATCCTGAACTGTACAACATGTTGATACAATATACAGTATACCAAGTTACCTTCTTATTCAAAAATATTTATAACCTACTCTGCAGTCCCTTACAATATGTACATGACTGCATCAGTCTACCAGTCTGATGAAACATCTTCAAGAGAGTAGGTACTGTTATGTTTTCAGTGAGGATGAGCAAATGAATGAATCTGATACAACCTTTTCTATGTACCTGGGTCACCATTAGTCAAGCACCAACTAAGCATTACTTAAGCATATGATTTTTTAACCCTTAAAAACACATTAACAGGCCTAGCAGAGGTGTGTGCTCTTTAGCTGCCTGCTACCTTCTTTGTATCTGACAAGTGTATTGAGGTAATTTATAAAGTTCATTTCAGTCACTGAAGAAAGGTTTATTTAATGTGTGAGCAGCGATTATTCTGTATATAATATCCTTGTGTTTTTATGCACACACTCACAGTACAAGTCTTTGAAAACCTTAAAGCCCTTTATGGAGACTTGTGTGATACAAGCAGGATTTGAGGCTGAATCAAAACATAAGTGATACTGATATTTTTCTGGAGCATTAGAAAATGCCTCACTTAGCACCAAAGATTTGTGAATTTTTATACCATCCATTGCCCTTTTGTGTCCAGCTCCCCCTGCCCTGGATTTTGTGGTGTTTTTAACTTGAGCTGTTACGACCTGTAATGCTGATTCATTGTCACGATGAATCATAACATCCTCTGGCACCTGCTGACTTACTGTGACATCCACTGCAGTACCTGTCACTTGTGAAACTGGATGTGGCCTCAGCAGCATTTACCAGTTAATTTTAAAGACAGATGATGGGTTGATGGGCTGAAATGTCTGCATTAATTGGAGGAGAAAACACACTAAAAAATCCATTCATGAAGCCAAGATAAAGGGAAAAAATAATCAGTTTTGGAGCACAGAATCTATTAGATAAAGACATCTGTTAAGGCTACTGTGTATTTATCAAAGTCTTATGAGTCACAGTCCTCTATTGTCCAGACCTGGCAGCCTTTAATATGGCAGAACGCTCATCTTGATCAGAAAGTCCTAATGGCTGCAGCCTGGAAAAGTCTTCTCTGCAGGTGTGAATGGTCTCTGATCATACAGCTCCTTCCTTTTCAGACAGACTCATCCTTTTGAGCTCAGGAAGCATAAAAAATGGATGTTTGAGGTGTCCTCCCTGGAAGCCTCTTTCATCCTCCCCCCAGATTATTCTAATAACAGTATACAAATGCCACTGGTAACTTCAACAAGATAGCTTTTTGTCATCATCCATGGCTCAGTTTAAATGACAAATTACAGGTAAGAGAGTAAGAGATTAAAAAAGAAATGGTGCACAGGTGTGATGACTATGAATTAAAATCACATTCAATACATGTGGCTAAGTAGATGTCCAGATCCCTTCTTGCAAAAACGCTGAATTGAAAGCAATAACAACAACACAAAAGGCATCAACATTTCAGTCATAGTGCTAACCAAACTATGTTCTTTATCAAGAAATCAAATAAATATCCATCACCTCATTAGGTAATCAATTAAATTTACATTGTAAAATGAAGCTGTTTAAGTATCCCCCTGAAGCACTGTGGAAGCAGCACACATCTCTCGGCCCCATGCGTGGCTCACCAGTCTGTGTGTCAGTGATTTAATATAATGAGGCAGCATTTGAATTCAGTCAATGCAGATCAAATCACGCTTAGGATTTACTAACATAAGCATTCATTTCTGAAGGGACAGCTGATGCTAACTGAGATTAGGTGAAATCTTATTTAAAAAAAAAAGGCAAATAGTTTCTGAAACTGTTAAAATGCTTAAGAATCCCATTTTATTTGAACTTTATTTTCCAGGAGTGCATTTTCATGATAGTTCTCCTCTGGGATACTATTGCATTGCTTACTTACCATTTTTTCCAGAGTCATTTAAAGTAAAGCTTTATTCTTATTCATTATTGTCCTCTGATAGCTTTCTCATTTTCTGCTGCTGTAATATCTGTCTATCTATCTATCAAAGACCACACAGGGGAGTGTGTGATAGTGCAAACTGTGAATAGGGATCACACACACCAATGCATTGTCCTTCATGGTGCATGGAATCCAACCTCACAGTTCACTGTCCACATGAATGAAGACGCTTCCTGCACATAAATAGGCCTGTAACCTCCGTTATCTTCTTGTTGGGTGAATGATTTGGTCATTTCCGATGAGAACTCTATCTTATTCTGTATTTTTATTCCTGTTACCTGAAGCTGGGGCAATCAGTAAAATGACTGATGGGCCCCTGAGGAAGCTTTAATTGGGATGGCATGCTACAATAAAATATATATTACTGAATTTAAAGGCAGGTTGGCGATTCTGGAAAAACCAGCAAGAGGAAGCTCAATTTTGAAAGTGGAGAACCAAACAAATCCTACCCTTTTGTTCTGTTTTCTCTCCAAAGCCACTCCTCCAAAACACAACGTGCACTGCCTGACTACTGCTTACATATTTCAGAAAAATAACAAATGGCCCCCAAACAAACAACAGTCTCTGTTCGCAAACAAAAGTGCACAAGCCACAATGTATTCATTGTGATCGGACTGAAAAGAGGGTTTCCAGCTATGTAATATAAACGCTTCTGAAAAGAACTGCCAACCCCACCTTTAAACACAGGTGATAAACTGAAAATTTATTATGTGGTCAACGATGATGTGAAGAAGTGATGTGAAAAAAAGAAAATCAGATAAAGTCAGATAAGGCTGATGGAACAGAAAGACAGCTGAGTGAAAATAGGAGAGTTTAATGTGAAAAGTGTTGGCAATTTTTTCACTGAAATTACCCCGAGTATGGCAGCACCTTGGCAGCATTTCTGGGTCACTGCTTCCATCAAGCCTATTGTCAAGGTCTATCATTAAATGTCAAAAAAAGAGAAAAATGTTTCCTACAAAACCTAAATATACTAGTGAGATGAACAGGATTAGTGAGATTTGGACATTAATTCAGTGTGGCATTTCAGTTAGAATTGTGTGTACAGTATTTAGCACCAATGGTGTGCAGTCCTAATGCTGGATAGTGAAGCGATGAACAGTCTGGTGCCATTCTCTGAGCACAGAGAAAACTCGGAGTTGACACTGTTGCATTTTTACAGAGATAAGGGCAGTTTGCCTGCAGCATGAACAAAGTGAAAATTAAAGGAAGGCACAATCCACCCTAAAATGATATTTATGAAATACTTTTGTTAATTTGGGCTGCAAAATCCTTATTTGATAAAGGAATAGTTCAACATTTTGGGTAAGTAATATGCTTTTTTTTGTACCGAGTGTGAAGCTATAGCTCAGAGATGTTTAGATTAGTGTGGCATACAGTTTTAGAGCGAGAGAAAACCAGTAGCTTGGCTCTGTTCAAAGTTAAAAAGTCACCTAAATCACCTCTAAAGCTCAGTATGTACATGTTCTAGAGTGCCACAGGGATGATGTAGTTTTGTAAGCTAACCCGGAAGTTATCATCACCTTGGTTCCCTTGACAAAAAGCCAGTAGGATATTTCCATAGACCTTTGGATTATTGCAGAAAATAAGCTCTGTGCTCTGTGTTCTTATTTGTTCAGCAAAATAACCCTTGCAAGTGAACACTGTTTTTATGGCATTTGAAGCTCAAATACAATCACCAGAAGTAAAAAGCTATTGTTAAGGCTATAAACAAAGCACACCGCAGTCCCATGACGTCACTGTCACGACTTCCAACTTATAATTTGATTGAGCATGCTTGCCTCTTCAACAAAATCCTTTCCTCTTAACATGACATAATTTAGCTAGTGATCATGGCTGTGTCAGCTAGTTAGAATAGTTTGCAAGTGTGTGAGCTTAGAAATAATGAGACTTTAAAAGGCAGGCTAGTGAGCAGATCAGTGTGTAGCGTGATGACGTCTCATTTAGCCACTTGTTAGCAACTACCTTTTTAAGAGACGCAAAAGCATTAAAAATCTCGAGTGGAGTATTTAAGGAAATATTTTAAGTCATAGAATAAAATGTGAAAATGTATTGGCCTTGTGTTAACCACAGACCTTATTTCAGGCATTTAAACCAAAAACCCATTCTCAAAACCCATGGAGGGCAAGGGAACCAGACGTGCAGAAATACTAAACTAGTGGTGGAGTTTAGGACTCACTACTACAACACTCTGCCTCGTCTCTTTCTAGCTTTGAAAGCTACAGTATTTGTTCATGAACACAACAACATGCAAAGCTGTCATAGCCCAAAGCATCTTGTGTATTAATATTCTGCTTTAGGGCGGATTTTGTTTTAATGATTCATGTTGCTCCTGCTGTCTCAGCCAGTGTCAGACCCTCTCTATCTCTGCAGGCTTATGAAGTCAACAACATGTGCAAGTGAAAAAAGAAAAAACCCTTCAGCTATAGGAATCTAACAATCATATGCACCTTTTCAGAGATGCTGTCAGTGCCAGTTCTGCCCTGTATCTCTTCTTCTGGGCTGAATTAAACATCCACAAGCACAACAAAGCGCTGCTTGTGCAGCTCGACAGTATCTGATACTGCCAGATCCCTCAGAATATGCCTTCACTTTTCCTCAGATTTTGTATACCGATATCTGTGACAGACTTGTAATAAAGCGGCCTCATCTCAGATTATTCTCATTTCCACAAAAATAATGCTTTATTTGCAGCATCTATCCAGCCGTAGAATCAACTATTATTTGAGGAGGAATCAAAATGGCCAAGCCACACAAAGAACTCTTTTGTACAAAGGCTAATTCTCTTTTCATAATTTGCACAGCAACAGCAATTTGCTCTTTCATCAAGACAGTTACAATTATGTTTTAACATAACTATCCCAGCTTTTCTTCAGCAGCCAAATTTGCTGATGTGCCACATTTGAAAAGAGAAAGGCCAGTGGCAATGCACAGGCCTGAGCTATTAACAAGATGATTGACAGCAGTGGTTTCCATTTGTTTCCTGTGAGGTCAGCCCATGGCCAGCTCTGTCCTTTAGTTCAATGTCAGATGCAGAGCTCTGCAGCCCAACATGTAGCCGAACCCTGTTCTCTCTTTTGCAGAGCCGCAGATTTATTAGACTGAATTTCTGGACAGAAGGGCTTACCAGGCCTGGGATTTCCGTCTGGACATGCTCTGCCTCAGCCACTTTGAGTGTGGGGTCAGGTGGTAGATCAGCTGTCTGCAAATCTTATCAGAAGACTTTATGGTGTCTGCGTCCTGTAGAAGGGAGCAGAAAAGGGCATTCGTGATGGCACACAGAACAAAGAACGTGATAAAAATGAAACAGCTTTTTTCACCATCAGATTTTCTGCTTGGGCGTGAAAAAAAAAAAAGCTTCGCAAATCATCATTTCACACTGTCTAAGCTTTAAATCCTGCAAACCTTCTTGCATTTTCTCAAACATATCAGCCTACACCTGTAACATCTTTCACAGGTGCAAACAAAAGGTTTATTATTTGCGATGCCTTGAGCTACTCCTGAGCAAAACACAATTTAGCTGCCTTGCTGGAGCAAGAAAATCTAATCACATGCAGTGTTCATCAGTGGGGGTGAGGGAAGGTAAGATGAACACAGCGACTGGTAAACACAGGTAATTTTATTTTAACCTTGTGCCACTGGCTACATCAAAATAATTCAATATTCACTGTTGAGAGATTGAAACAGGTTGTGAATTTATGTCTTTGTATGAAGCACCTTTTCTTTTTAGTTCAATAGATCGTTTGAGGCTTATGACTTTACATTTTACAGATATTTACTCCAGCTTTGTGAGTTTTCAGGTATGAGATAAGATAAACTGTGCTGGACAGGATATGTCACGAGCAGCTCCTCAGAAGTAGCATGCGTCTGCACAGTTTCATCTCCCTGTAGAAATGTAGGTCGATGGCATCCTCAGATTAGATTTTCATCGATCTTCTAAACTCATTACTTAACAAAAGGAAACCATCAGGGGAATATTTTAAGAGAATTATTTTTTTTTTTGCAGAGTACCAACACCAAGCTGGATTTTTCTGGATACTCTGTTGGTGTTATGGTGAGGAGAAGATGGTAAAAGTAGACCTTCTTAGGACACTGCATTTCTCGAGCCAGGCTGAGCAGCAGCTCGTGTGAGATCGGGTCCACGAGGTTGAGGAAGGCAGCATTTTTGTACAAGATGTCATTGAGTGAGGTGCCTTCCAAACCCAGATCCTATCCCAAAACAGAAAAAAAGAGAGGAATCACAGTCACAGCAAAGTGAAATTGTAAAACCAAGAATTAGAATTAAGAAAAACATTCATTAGTGATGGAAACTGGGCCTCTGCTGTGTCAAAGGTAATGGGGCCCAGAGTGGAAAGATAAAAAATGTTTTTGTTTCAAATATTCATTAAAGAGAGACAGGAGCCTTTTCGTCTTCAGGAAAAAATAGGAATCTAGGGGGAGTTGCAGGGAATGCTGAGTTTTGGCATATATAATGGCACCTCCACTGCAGCAAGCCACAGAGACACAGTCACCAGGCATATTCCAATAAGCAGATCTGAAATGAAAACCTTTATTAACCTTCATACTCTCAAAATTTGGCAAGAGCAGTGGGAATGTTGTGAAACTGGCATACATTTATATAAGATTCAAAATACGGTTGGTTCTCAGCAGGTATAGGATGGAAATAGGAAAGATGAAATTGTAATGACTCGATTGAGAACGAGTCACACGGATTTAATTCACATTCTGCATAAAACAGGTAAACATCCTACAGGTCATTGTGAACATTGTAGTCAAGATGAGACGGCGCATGTCTTGTTCCTCTGCAATGCGCACAACAAGCAATGTGCTCGAATGATAGTTTCAATGAGAAGAATGAAGATTAATAATGTCCACAGAGAGCATACTCGGTAGCAAATGTAATGCATTATTTAACAAATATAAGTGTCATAGACCAGATTTGGGGTGGACCAGCACTTGGCGGAGTCCCCCAGCATGCCCTGCTGAGCACAGACTGAGTTACTGTTCTGTTCATGTTCTGTCATGGGGCGGTACCAGTTAGCTGGGGCAGAGCACCATGACCGAGGGGCCTGATGGGCCATACTGTAAACAGTTTGGTGTGTTGATAACAGAAGGGGGTGCTGTTGGGTCATGCGGTGTACGTGTGCACAAAAAACAAAAAAAGGAAATTCTGTCTCCAGCTTCCTTCCTCATTCAGCCCATGTTACAGTATGTTGGTATAAGGACTTTCTTTTTTAAACATATACTGTATTTCTTCTTCGGCTTGATTGTTGATGCTCTCTCCAGTTCAATAGGTGGTGGTAATGCACCTGGGATACTGGGATGCAAACCACCAGTAAACTACAGAAGAAGAAGCAAGCCACAACCTGTGAGGCTGAGAAGTGAAGCCAATGCACAAATGTCAAAACCTGCAGTTCCTCTAAAGGCCACTTGAGGCTGTCTCCAAAAGGGAGTCAATCTCCATAGAGATCCATGTTAAAATACCAAACTTTACATCAGAGATAAACAGGTTTACAGCCTTGTACCATAAACCGTTTTGTTTCTAAAGCTAGTTTTCCCTTTCATGACAACTGTGTGTGTGTGTGTGTGGTGGTGGTGGTTACATAACCTGCCTGGTTAGTTCTATTGAGACTAAAGTTAAACATAATTAAAGACATTACTGCTTTGAGTGACAGATGGGAGAGTACTGCCATAGGTGGCTAGCCGCTATCTGTCTGGAGAGCTCCACTTACCCTCCACTTCTTTGTCCATTTTGTGATTAGTCATAGCAGGCAGAGTGAAGCTCTACCAATATAGCGATGGCCAGATTTGAGCTTCAAAACCATTCTTTAGAAAACCAATGGGTAACATCACAGTGGGTTTGTCAATCTTTTAAATACAGTCAGTAGTCCCAGCACATACTGTTGGCACAAACAATCAAGCCTATTCCTGACTCTGAGTTGATATGAAATACCTGGATCCAGTTTTAGTGATTTTTAATACCCCCCCACCCCTCCCCCCCCTTTTTTTTTTTTTT